GGTCGGGATCCTCTGGCTATACTGGCTGGTGTGCGAGTCTGACGATGCGGCAGTGGGGGTCGCCTCCGACATTGTGAGATACGCGGTCGATGGTGTTGGTGCCATGTTATGGATTCTCCTCATAGTGGAAGGCATGTCTCTCAGCAGAATGCTTCGGCTCTTCCGCGACGTGTGGGCATTCTTCGTTGTACCATTGGCAATTACCACCTTTTTCTCCTCTCCAATTATGCACATTGCGAAGCTAAAGGAGTACAATGGCATCATCGTGGGCTTCGACCTGATCTGTTGGGCGACGATCACTCCTATGGGGGTGTTTTGGGTGGCATCTCAGAAGAGCAAGAGAAGAGCCATATACACTGCCCAGATGGTCTTCATCCTACTGGTAACTATGGCTGCTGTAAGCGTTTGGGTCCTCGTTTTTTTCAAGAGGTGAGGGATGACATGGATGCCCCGATGAAAGAAGAGGGAGAGTGTCTTCTTTGCGGTGTCTGTTCAGAGGGGAGAAAGTCTCAACAGACGGCGAGAGGGCACAGGTGGCATTCGCGTGTCTGTTATGCTGTCTGCCCTTGATGGCCTTGGCCACAGGAACTACAAGAAGGATGACAGATGGTCACCCACTGCGCAGCTATCCTGTCATCTACTTCGCCGTACTAGGCTGCCTTCTCGTGCCCCGTATCATGCAAGCAAGCAACCAACCAAGACAGACACACGGCCGAAACAGACGGACAGACACACACGGTGTGTGTTATTGACAGGCCGAGATGGTGAATCTCAGCAGCAAGATCGCGTCCTCTCTGTTATTCGCCCTCTACGATCTCCTCGGCGACCTGGCAGTGCCCTACGTCGACGCCCTTCGATTCAACCTCCGTCGCTCATTCGCGTTTCTCCGTCGCTCATCCACCCGGCACCGATCAACGAGGAGAACTCCAGAGACACCGGCAGGGAGCACCACTGAGAAGCCCCATATGGACAGTACCCGCGTCCCGCCACATGTCTCGCAGTCGCGCAGCAGCACATGTGTGGCGAGCAAGGAGGAGGCAAGCGTATCCCCCAGCTTCCAGCGGAGGATCTCCCTGAAGGCCCTCTCCTCTTTGACGTCAGTCCTCAACCTGCAGTCGACGTTCATCGCCTACGACTACCGACCCAGATACCTACGCGCCTTATCCGACCAGATCCACGCCTACAATCTGGCCGAGAGCCTGATACTGCTCTTCATCAACCTCTCGCTGATCGCCGTGGACCAGTTTGTGGACCCTTCCTTGTCTGGCTTGGCTGAGAGACTCGGGGGCTTGTGTCTGCTGGTCGCCATCGAGATGGCATGCGAGATAGTCCTCTTCATGGTAGCACAAAAAGCAGACCAAGAAAAGGGAGCGGCTTGATGTCTCTGTGTCACTCTGTCTGTGTGTATCGTGCGTGTCTCAAGATCTCTGTGCGGCTGCACAACTTGCCCATCGTCCGCAGTGAGGATGAGCCTGGGCCCTGGCGTTCAGGCTGGTGTCTTTGCTCTGGTGCGTGCGCACGCACACCAAACAACACGTCCAGTCACGTCAGGCACAGATACACACACACACACACTGCCATCCTGCCTGTCCCTCTCAGCGCCTCCGTGGCTTTGTTACTCGCATTTCTGCCATCGGTCTTGCTGTTCACCTTAAGGGCGACGAAGCCCGGCCAATACGCGGACTTGACCACTGCGGAGCTGTGTCCACATAGTTTCGACTACTCTGTCTGACCGACCGACGGACGCCGAGATGCGATTGAGCGTGACCTCCAAGGCCCGGATGGAGGTCACCATTGGATGGTATCAGGATTCTGACAGAAAGCGACAGAGAACGGACATTATTCACATATAGAGAAGAGCTGACACGAATGAGATCTGCTGCCTCGTACAAAGTGTACACACCAAGTCTCCATGTCGACTCTGTGGGTTGAAAAAGGCGGCAGACACCACGGCAGTGGTCGCCACAGACACCACAGACACCATGGCAGTGGTCGCCACCGGGCAAAGACGCGACAATATGTGACTCATAGTGTGAGAATGTATCTGGAGCGGCGCAGGGAATCACGCGCGTGGGCGCTAGGAACTCGTTCTGGTGCCTCGATTTCGGCCGGCGAGAGGGGAAACTACACTGATCAATGCATGTCTTCATCTGGGTGTCACGTGTTGTTTGCTCATTGCAGGATGCGCTTGAGATGCTGAGAGATCGCACTCCGCTAAGCACTTGGTATTGTACCCAAGTGTTATGTCTCCTTTCCCTTACATATATGTCACCCCAATTGCGAGATCTCTGTGGCGCTACCGTCGTATCTCTCGCAGAACCAGAGAACACCCACCCGACCGACCGACCGACAAGGGAGAGAGACAAACAGGGATTGTCGACCATTGTGACTCGTGTCTCCTTTTGCTGTTTGCTGTTTGTTTGTCAACCGACCCGACTGTGGACCCACCCCACCCATGGCCACATACGCACATTCATTTAATTAAGATGCTGCTGGTGCCTGCCATCCATCCCAGCCACAGCTGGTGGCTCGATTGCCTACCTTAGCTGGCTGACGGTTAACCGTTCGTCACATGCTTTTGATTGCGTCGGCTTGTTTGTCGAGGTACAGCGACGAGGAGCTCGACGAACTGTGGACCGTCATGCACACGTAGGCCTCGCGAGAGGGAGGGAGGGAGGGAGCCGGGCCTCCCCCCAGCTGTCCATTGTTGACAATGGGCTCTCTGTGTGTGTGTGTGGTGTGCTGTGCTGTGCTGGTGGTGCAGGTGCGTTGACGTCCTGAAGAGGCGGTGACCCACTGTGGCTGGCTGATGGTGGCTGACAAGTTGGCAGGTGGTGTGACAGCAAGTGTTTGCGACTTCGGTCTTGTTTGTGTGGGCATGGTTTTGGGGGCATGAACGAATGAGTGAGCCTCTCTGGTGGGTGGGCGAGGACAGGCAGGTGTGTATCCGTGGGGGATGGATCGATGAATGGACGGATCGATTGCATCAGACACATACACACACATGCGTACAGACATGCGATTGCTCTCCGTCCGTCCAGCCACGTGTGTGTATGTCTGTCATCATCAGAGCTGACACATACACACACCAGTCATCTCATCCATCCATCTGTCCGTCTGTCGGTTGGTCCACACCCGCTAGCTCACAGGTGCCTGCCCTCCCCCCTCCCCCGCCCCTCCGCCTCACCAGTTATGTGTGGGTCGGTCGCTCAGTCGATGAGTGTGATCCGCCGTCTCTTCCTCTTCAAGTTGTTGGTGCCCTCACCGGCCCCCGAACCCACAGCCGCAGCCACAGCAGGGGCCTCATCCGTCATGGCCACCTCACTACCGCCACCACCAGCAGGAACGGCAAATGGGAGCGGTGGGCAGAGGGCCGCTGACACACACACACACACACACACAGAAGGACAAGAGTCATTCCCCTGTCGTGTATGTCACTCGTGCGTCCCCACATGCGAAGAGGTCATCGTCATCGTCCATGTCGTGGGGCGAGAAGCTGAGCTTAGGGGCGGCAGCGGCGTCATATGGGTCTCGGGCGTCTCTGTGTGGCGCCATGGGCTCGTCGCCATCGTCACAGCAGGGGGGGAAGGCCGGCGGGGGGCCGTGGAAAGGGTCTCTGTCCTCACGGTGCCCATGGTGCTCATCCACGGGGTAGCCCATGACGATGAGGGGCACTGGCGGGGCGGGGTAGGGCTGGCGGTGGGGTGGGAGTGGTGGGCCATACAGAGGGGGAGGCAATGGATGGTGCTGTTGCTGGTCGGGGGGATGCTCTGCAGGGGCTAAGTCGGTGTAGTTGGCCAGGGAGGGGCCGTACTGAGCACATCCACAGGCGGAGGAGAGAGATGTGATGTGTCTCGTGTGTGCGTGTGGGCGTGTGTTGTGATATTGGTCGCTCACCGCGGCGCCCTGCAGCAGATGGGTCAGAAACACACGCACCGGCAGCCTGACCGACAAGGAGCCAGACAGACAGACAGACAGGGGATGGACACACACACAGCAGGAGAGATGCCTTGTGTGTGTGTTTACTTGAAGGATTCGAGCACGGCCGCCTCATCGAACGTCTTGCGATCGGGAAAGAAACACTTGAGCTTCTTACGCTGGCAGCAAACCCACCCACACACATACACACAGAGGGAATGTGTGTCTCTCTGTCTCTCTCTCTCTGTGTGTCCACTGCACCGACCTGTCCGGCAGATGGGCCCTTCCTGGGCTGGTCGTACTTAGCGCGGAACATGTTGCGGGTGAAGCGCGCCTTCATCAGCTGCCTGGACACACACACCACACACACACACATCCATATGTAGGCGTGTGTGGTCGGTGGGCCGCTCGCGCACTTGTTGATATGATTGACGTCATCATCAGTCATGGCGGCGCCCACGTCCACCCCGGCCTCCGAGAAGACGGGCGCGCGCAGCAGAGAGGTAGAGGCGCCCTCGGGGGGCTCGGCGAGGCGCGGGAACCAGTTCTGACGCACACATGCAGTGAGGGAGCACATGAATGCCACACGCGTCGAGGAATGCCGGGAGGCGGGGGGGTGGGGGAGGTGGGGTGACCACTGACCATGAACAGCGACGAGAAGGGTTTGTTGGCGAACTCGCTCCACCGACACACATTCTGCAGCCATCGCCATACACACAGATGGATGGATGGATGGGCATCCTTTCCGTCACAGAGACCGACGTCCTTACCGTGACACTGACGAGGAAGTTGAAGGGGCCGTAGGTGTAGTAGAACTGGTCGCCGACTTGCGTGACGATGCGCGTGAGGAGCACATTGGCGTCCGACATGGCCCGGTGGATCTTGGCGCTCGGCGGCAGAGACCACGAGTGCTCGAACTCACCACCACCGAACTGCACCGTTCAATCCATCCACCCACACAACACACAAACACAGAGAGAGAGACGGAGAGAGTGAACACTCACTGTGCACCCCTTCCCGTCTCACCCCACCCACCTCATACTGAAGAGCCAGCAGCATGGCGCGGTGCAGCGAGTAGAGGCAGAACCCCGCCCACACCGTGAGGGTGCGCTGCAGCAGCAGGGGACCGCTGCCCGCCTCAATCTCACAGGAGAACGTCAACTCAACTGCACAACACAACACAACACGTGCAGCCTGCGACAGACGGTGGGAGTGTGTGGATGCGATGCGTGTGTACCGAGGTCGTATGTGTGGAGCGTGTCGGCATCTTTATTGGGCTGCGGCTGTTGCTGGACGGCCTGTGTGGCGAGGGGGAGGGTGGTCTGCTGTGTGGAGGCGGGGCTGGCCGTGGTGGCTGTGGTGGCGTCTTGCGAGAAGGCGAGTATAGGGTCCATGAGGGCAGCGGATGCAGGCAAAGGCACCTCAGGCACCTTCTCGTACTCGGCCTTCAACACAATCTCACAACCCAACACCTCCTACATGTGTGCAAGTAATGATGGCGTCCATGTGCGACGGCCAACGGTGACGCTTTGTGCCCATCTACATACCTGGATGGTTTTGATTGCAATGGGCCCCTGCTGCTTCCCCCCACCCACCGCACCCTCACCCTCACCCTCACCCTCACCCTCACCATCACACACACCACCACCATCGTCGCCTTTGTCGGGCCGGCAGCGTTTCTTGGATGCTGCCTTTGCCTTTGGTGGCGGAGGACTGGCGAGCAGCCGCTTGATGCGCTTGTCCTTGAGCACCTGCCGCAGCTGCACGAGGCTCATGGATGGCAGCACGATGGCCGCGGGGTCCTTCATGTCGCCGTCATGGCCGTCACTGGAAGGGGAGGATGAGCCGAGAAGGGGAGAAAGGGAGATGGGGTCAGACGACGGAGCGGGGCTGCTGCCAGCCATCAGTAACACAAAGCAGAAAACACGGCACAATCCCGTTCGTTTTCCGGGTTCGTAAACTTGGCTTGGGAAAGATGAGGTTCGAAGATTCGGAGATATATCGCATGCTGGTGTCTGGTCCCGACCATGAGGAGATCACCGCAGACCACCTCGATAGATCCGACACAACGCAGTGCGCCGCGGCAGCCAAAGTCCGCGCCGTGACCGGGTGGGTGGACTGTGGGTGGATAGGATGGGATGGTGGGATGGGCGGCGAGGAGGAAATGGGGAGAGAGGACCACATAGATCCATCCATCCGTCATCTCTGGCTAGATCTCTCTTGTGCGTGTCACACAGGAGCGAGATGGCGGGGAATCACGCGGGGCAGGCCAACGAGGCGCTCTTCAACAGCCCCTTTGGCTTCGATGTGAGCAACGACGGCAGCATCTGGGTCGCAGACACCGAGAACCACTGCGTCAAGACCATCTCGCCCAACCTCTCTGTGGTACGCAGGCACACCATAGAGGGGCTGGTGGTGGATGGGTAGATGGGTGAGTGGGTGGATGACTATGCGATGGATGGCATTGCTTGTGTGGTTGCCCGCAGGTTGTGACGGTGGCCACTGCGGCTGGCGGGCTGAAGTCGCCAACGGGTGTGGCAGTCTGCCGGGCCACCAAGTGCTGCTACGTGGCCGACGTGCAGACGCACTGCATACACCGCATCCACCAAGATGGGCAAGGTGCGTTGGTGTGTGTGTGTGTGTGTGTGTAAGGGGATCTATTCCATCGCAGTCAGCCGCTTTGTCCTTTTTGCTTTCATGATTTCAGTTGACATCATCGCTGGGGAGCGTGACACTGCCGGATATCAGGAGAGCGACGGCGGCAACACAAGCAGATGGGATATGCCGTGGGCAGGTTAGCAAGAATATAGGCACACCCCACCAAAACCATGGTGTCGTGTCCCTTTTTTTCGTGCAGTCGCGTTGAGCCCCAGCGGCGACCTGTACGTAGCGGACCGGCAGAACCACCTCATACGGAAGGTGCTGCTCAGCCGCGGCGTGCCCCCTCCCGCCCCCACCCACTGCACAGCCGACACCGACACCACGTCGATAGCCACACACCACCACCCAGAAGGACCGGATGTGGCGGGGAGAGATGAGGAGGCCATCGAGACCATCGCAGGTGATGGATGGATGGATGGATGGAAAGGGGGAGGGGGATGGTGTGTGGGTGCGGCCACGTCCTGTGATTGGTGTGTGTGTGCGTGTTAGGTGGCGGTTTGGGTATGGGAATGGGTGTTGGCGTGATGGGCGGTGGGGTTGTGGCTCAGTGCGCCACCGAGACCGTAGCCGGCATACTGGGGCAGCCAGGTGAGTTTGGAGAAGAGAACAAGACAATCCACCTACAGACACAGACCGCAGTGTGTGTGTCTGGTGTGTGTGTGTGTGGCTAGGTTGTGAGGACGGCGACCCGAGCAAGGCCAAGTTCAACTCGCCCTCGGCGCTTGCCGTCGCGCCGGATGGGGCCGTCTACGTGTCAGACATCGGTCGGCACCACACCACACCATGCACACCACACACCACACACACCTTGCACGCCCACATCCACACACACGCCATATGTGTGTGTGTATACCAGCGTCTAACCGGATCCGCAAGATCAGTGCTGACGGGAGGGAGGTGCTGACGCTGCCCGGCCTCTACAAGGGCGCGCTCGGGCTCGACATAGACGCGCACGGACGGTATGTGTCTGGGGGGGCGACACACATCAACGATAGACGAGAGTGGCCATCCATCCATCCATCCATCCGTCTCAATGGCTGGATGTGGCTGCTCCCTCTCTCACCACCCCTCTCTCTCTCTCTGTGTGTGTGTGTGTGTGTGTGTGTCAGTTTGTACATTGCCAACACGGAGGCCAAGCAGATCCTCAGATACGACCCACGCGCAGGACAGGTCCACACACACAACCATGGCACACCACATACCCAACACAACAGAGCAGACAAACAGGGAGACAGGGAGGTCGCCCATACCCCCTCCCCTCCCTGTCTCTTTTCATTCCCTCAGGTGGACACCGTGTGTGGGGTCGATTTGGTCAAGCCCACGGGCATCCGTGTCGACAGCACCTCGGGTGTGCTCTTCATAGCCGACCTCCACGCCTTCAAGGCCATCACCGTCACCAAGAGCCTCCCACCCACCCCGCCAACACTCAACATGGACCTGGCCAACCTGCTCTGCCAAGACGTACGTGACCTGCACACACACACCCATACTCACGGTAGTTGAAGGGTCTGTTGGGGGGTGTTTGCTGGTCAGGCTGAGGACACGTTCTCTGACGTGACCTTTCTGGCGGAGGGTCGCGAGTTCATGGCGCACTGCGCCATCATAGCGCAGAGGTGCCCCAAGCTCAAAGACGCCATCAACCACAGTGGTGAGTGAGCGAGGCGGCCGGGCAGTTAGTCCACTTGACGACATGTGATCCTCTGTGTGTGTGTGGGTACATTGGTGCAATTTGCTGTGTGTGTGTGTAGATGGCAAGCCAGTGGCCTTAGAGGTGTCGTACAAATGTTTGGTGTCGGCGCTGTTCTTCCTCTACACCGACCGGTGCATCGTCGACCAAACCACTCAACACGACCTACTCGCGGTGGGGGCCTGCACTGCAGTGTGTCGGTGGTGTCACACACACACAGACACAGAGAGAGAGAGAGAGGGAAGAAGAGGCTATTTCTCCATGCCTGTGTGTCTTTCTGGCTGTGGGACTGTCTGGCTCTCTGCCTGGCTGTGTGGTCAGTTTGCGGACCGTTACGATGTGTGTCGGCTCAAATGTTTGGTGGAGGAGTATATGCTCAAACGTGTCAACCTGGACAACGTACTCGAGACACTCAGGTACACACACACACACACACAGAGAGAGAGAGAGAGAGACGGCAGCGTGCATCCATCCATCCATCCATCCAGATCCATCCATCCACCTCTGTATGTGTGTGTGGTCAGAACGGCCCACCGTTGCCACGCCGATCGTCTCAAGAAGGCGTGCATCAAGATAGTGATCCGACACTTCGCCATCCTGCAGGCAGGTCTTGTGTCTGTCATCGATATGCACACACACACTCACGCCACATTCACAGCCCACACAAAGGTCGGTGTCTGTCTTTGGTTCTTTCTCTCTGTGTGTGTGCAGGGCAAGATTCCGAGTAGCGGACTGGCGGAGCTGCCGGAGCTGCTGACAGAGCTCATCCTCTCCATGCCCAAGTAGGTATGTGAAATGTGAAACGCACTGCACACACACGCCACACACACATACACACACACCAGCGACACTCCTGCTGTACACCCTCTCGCTCTCTCTCTCTCTCTGTGCGTGTGTGTGTGTGTGTGTTTGTGTGTGTGGTGTGTGTGGTCAGACTCATCACACCGAAGCTCGGCCGCCCTCTGTCGTCCCTGCAGGCATCCCCCGCCCCCCACTGCACAGACACACCCCCATCCAAAGTAGATACAGACAAGGCCGCCCCCCATGCCAAGAGTCGCCCCCAAGTGCAGCAGTCGGCCAGCACATCCACCGCTGGCACAGCCAGTGGGTCGGCGATGAGCCTGTGGGAGTGGTTCTGCACGCGCAGCGGCAGCGGCAGCGGCATCGGCAGCGCGGGCGAGGGGGAGGCATAGCGTGTAGTCTTATGAATGAACGATATAGCTGGCGGATGGAGGGATGGAGGGCTGCCTGCCTGCAGAGGGGCCGAAGTCAGTTAGCTCTTGTCGGTGTTATGCAGACGAGACGACAGAGATGACATGTGGTTGCTGGAGAGAAAGATGCTTCTTCCTTTGCACGGGATGGATGGATGGATTGCATCTTGATCCAGGCCTCTGATTAGTGTGCGGTGTGCGTGTGCGTGTGTGTGAATGTGTGTAGGTGTTGGCGTGAGGCAGTGAGGCTGCATTGCCTTGCTGTGTGCGGTCAAGTGGCACGCCACAGAGGATGGAATGAATGCAGCACACAAGAGGGTCCGGTCACAACACCACACCACACCACACCACAGCAAGTCCAGCCGCACAACTCAACACACACATACACACAGACACACACACACACACGTCCCTCCCTCCCTCCTCCCTGTCCCACCGTCCCTTATACTGCCCATTATATCCCCCTCTCTCTCGGAAAAATACAAGATACAAGTCGCTTCCTTCAGCCACAGACAGACAGACACTTAATACTCACCCGACCACCCCACCCCGCCCACACACAGCCAGGAACGTCTCCCAGCAGACCACACACCTGGTCGAAAAAACCATACAACATTCATGAATGATGTGAGTATGTCATGACATCCATCGGCCTCACACAGGGAGACATAGAAGAGTCAGTCCATTCCAGTGCTTGCTTGTGCGGTGGGCTGGGATGGGCTGGTAGGCAGCCAGCTCAGCGAGCTGGCCAGCACCTGTGCTGGCGGGCTGGCTGGCTGGCTGGCTCATGTGCGCTGCACTGCACTGCACTGCACTCGCTCAGTCACTCCGACCGACAGACAATACACAGACAGCCATACAGCCACGTGTGCGTGTGTGCCTGGAGGGGAGGGAGAGAGGGAGAGGGGTCAAGAGGGCGGCCATCCATTCTGCCCCATGCCATCAGCCAGCCAGCCAGCCAGCCAGCAAACCATCCATCCCACCCTCCACTGGACATATGTAAGGCGATCTGTCGGCTGTGCGTCTGAGCGAGTGCCACAGGCCGACAGAGAGCCATGCATCATCATCCAGTGGGTTGGGTAGATGACTGACGCTAGTCGATACCCCCACCTCTGTATCTCTCTCTCCATTGCGACACGCTATGCTACGTCAGGCAGGCAGGCAGGCACGCAGCCAGCCAGCCCCTTGCTGCCCTGCCCTCCCCAGCTCACCAACACACCACAGCACAGCACAGCACAGATGTGCCACACACAGATACCATCACTACGGAGGACACGTCAAAAATTGCAGCCACCATCGCACAAGTAGATAGAGCACGCAACGCACAGCCACCAAACAAACACATCTATCCTTTCCTGTCTATCGCTCGGTTGCTTTGGGACAGCACACAAGGGTGAGAGGGCTGCGGGCATCTGTGTGTGTGCCTATCTGTCCCTCTCCCTCTCCCTCTCCCGCCGAGGTGGATGGAGGGAGCATGCAATAGTGAGTGCGGGAGGGATGTGTCTCCCCTCCCCTCCCCTCTGAAACATGCTGTGACCGTAAAGCACATTCATTCAACCATTCACTGATCCGTCTCGTCCATCCATCCGTCCGTTCGTTCATCGACCTGTCCTGCAGCCGCCTCACCTCACGAAGCGTACTCCCACTTACACAAATACCAACAACCCGACAATAAGCCAACTCACTCTCCATCCCTCCCTCCCTCACTCTCTCACTCAGAAACACGCAGCCAGTCAGTCAGTCAGACAGAAATACACACACATCCACACATAGGTAGGTACGAGGCAAGTGGCAGGCAGGCAGGCAGGCAGGGAAGTAGGCAGAAATACTCCGTCGCAACTCTCCCTCCCTCCCTCCCTTTCTCCCCATTTGGACACACGTCATTCGTGGACGGACGGACGGACGGACGGACGCATGGATACGGATCAGGGCACACACATGCATTGCATTTATCATTGTTTGTTTGTGTGTGTGTTGCAAAAGGGAAAAATAGGCCCACACACGGACGGACGGACACGCAGACATACACAGGGAGGCGCAAGGAACAAGGAAGGAAGCAAGGCATCACTTTGTGTCGCCCACACAACCCACGTATCACATCCACATGTTTGACATCCACATGCACACGGACGGACTGACACGCACGGTAGGCACAACGGAGAAAATCGCCCCTCTCTCCCCTCTCTCTCCTCTCGAGTAAGGAAGTTGAGCGTGAGTGTCTGAGGCCTGACACCCACACACCACAGCCGGGGCGGCAAAAAACATGGTTGGTGACCACACGACAGGCAGACAAACACCCATGAGCGCTACGTGCACGCTCAGCTCACCCCACATGCCATCCGGCCATCCAGCCATTGTGTGCTCTGAGTGGGTATGTATGTATGTATTGTGCCCTCAATAATCAACAAACACTTACTTGTGTGTGCATGCATCGATCGCATCAACCAACCGTATTGATTGATACTCATGCGCCATGAAACAAACAGACCATAGGAGTGAGGAAGCCCTAATTCCCTTAACTCACCCTCCCCATCCCCCCAGTGTGTGTGTGTGTGTGTGTGTGCGCGTGTGTGCAGTGCGACCGTTGAGTAAACGGACCGGTTATCTGTCTTTCTTGAAGACGTGCATCTCCATCCATCCATCCATCCACACGTATGTATGAGCAGTAGTGTCTGTCTGTCACTAGGACTTGTTGGACGGGCCGTTCAAAAGGCCCCTTGAGAGTGAGTAGTGAGTGTCTCAGTCAGTCACTGCACACGCCAACCCTCTAACACGGAGCGTTATTGGCCTCAGGTAGGTAGGGAGGGAGGGAGGGACACACAGACCGACAGGCCGACAGGCAGGCGAGAGCAAAAAGCGGCCAGGTGGGGTGGCGTGCAGTCAGTCAGTCAGTCAGTGATGCCATCAATGCTCACTCACTCACTCACCCACACGACTGTGTCTATGTGTGCAATGTGATGCAATCAATGTGATGTGTGTGTATGTGCATGTAATGTATGTGCGTATGGATGGCATGTAAGAAGGCATCAAAAAGGGGCCGGCTCATCCCCCTGTCTGCCAATCCATCCATCCATCCACTTGTTCATGTCGGCCGACTGCCTCTCTCATCGCTCACTCAGTCACTCACTCTGTCTGTCTGTCTGTCAACAATCAGCCTTGCCCCTCACACACGCACGACACGCATCGAGAGAGAGTATGTAAAACCGCCCACAGAGACTGCCCCCAGCCACCCCGCCAACCACCCATCCAGTGCAAAACAATCTCTGACGGTCAAGTCAATCAGGGAGCGGTAGACCGATGGATGGATGGATGGATGGCACGGCTCGTTTCAAAGGACACCGTGTGCACTCGGTTCAAAATCAACCCGCCAGCACCAGCACCACCAGCAGCACCACCACCAGCAGCAGTAAGCACGCAACGGAAGGCAGCATCCAGCAGCGGCAGCAGCAGCAGCAGCATCAGCGATATTATGGTCATGGTAACAAAGGTAGGCTAGAGGCAAAAATTAGGAACGAACGAACGAACCGCATCCCCGCGTCCACCCATATGCCCCTCAATCCCTCCATTGTGGTAGGTCACACACACACACACACACACAGACACACACACGCGTGAAGGGCCTCACTCACCTCACCTCACTCATGCAAGCCATGACGGCACGTGGCCATTCATTGTCTCACCATTCATTGCTCATTCATTCTTCATCACTGCACGTCACTCACGTCGATAAACCGACCCGGCCGTGTGTAGGTGTGGGGTATGGGGTGGGTGTGTGAGTGGGGAGGGAGGGAGGCAGATGAATGAAAGGAAAAATAGCACCCAAGGCATACATACCATACACGCAGGCAGCCAGGCAGGCAGGCAGGCACGAGAGCTGAGCTGGATGAGCCAGACAGACAGCTTGGGTGGGGTAAGGTAAGGTAAGGTAAGGTGAGGTGAGGTGGGATGGGGTGAAGAAAAGACTGTTGTGTTGTGTTGCGTTGCCTTGCGTTGCATCGCGTCTTCTCCCTGTACCTAACTGCCTGCATGCCTCTGATGGCTAGATTCTGCCAAGGCAGAGGAGTGCAGGCCAGGCCAGGCGGGACACTAAGCACAGCACAGACGGCACCAACACAACACAACACATCATGGCGTGGGGTGTAGGGCGTTCTGACTGCAAAATACTGCGCGCGTGGACAGACAGACAGGCAGATGGGCAGGCAGGCAGGCAGTCGCTCATGGAAGCGGGCAGACAGACAGATCACCGGGTGGAGGAATGAGTGGATGAGTGGAGAAAAATAGGTCCCCCGGAAACGAACGCATTGCATTCATTCATCACATCATCATTCAGCACGAGAGACCTCGGGGTGAGATGAGATGAGATACATGAGTGTCCGCTCAGTCATGCAGTCAGTTATTGTCCCCTCTTCCCCCCACCCCTCTTCCCCCACCACCCCCACCACCACACACATGTCCGTCATCATGAAAAGAAAAAAACAAAACACACACACACACACCACACCACACCACACCGATCGATCGATCGATCGACGCACATCCAGCCACCCCCCACGCACACACGGCAGCGCATGAATTACCTACCAGCGAGGCAAGTCTCCAGACAGGCAGGCAGGCAGGCAGGGGGTTGAGTGGTGTGCGTCTGTTCTGTCAGTCAGTATGGATTGCATGGCATGCAGAGGTTACGTACCCCGCTGGATGGTCTGCATACCTATGCAGACGGTCCAGCAGCCACACATTGACAACACAGTAAGTGGAGGAAAGACAGCCAGCCAGCCAGGTACGTAGCTGTCTCTAGCTTACGATATAACAACACCATCCATCCATCCATCCCATGCACCAACGAAGGCAGCACAAATGTGGCACGGCGCTCCTTTCCCCTTCGCTCCCTCCCGTCCAACATGCTTACCCTTTACCTCGATCGAACCACCAGGCATCCCCACCAGCAAAAATGCCGAATCCTCTTCTCCCATCCATCCATCCATCCAAACAACCAAGCCAAAGAACTTCACACATCACGCTTTCATTGACGGAGAAAACACCATGGAGGCAGCCAGGCAGATAGACAGACAGACAGACAGATAGATAGAAACCAGCCGGCCAGCCCACTCCTCCCCTCCCTCTTTCCCTCCCCTCCCTCCCCCCTCCCTCACAGCACCCAGGCAGCAATCACGCTGATGTCGTCCATCTTGCCCCCCTGGTAGAAGCCCCCCGCCCGCCGAGCATTCT